AAGGATATCTAGAAGAACTCTAAGATATACCTCCTTGACCAATTCATATTTCGGGGTTAAAACGTACGTACGGGATCCAGACCGGATATCACCCACCCGACAAATCATTGTTCAGTTGGTACGTAATCCACATGACCCATAGGGTGGATTATCGATTCTTGTGTTCTGCATTAAACTATTTATAGTTTAAGGGCCTGGTTAGAAATGTTGCCTTAGACTAGGAATAGCTAGGAGCTTGTTATAAAATGATTTGGCCTTAGATTAAGAATAATTTAAGAGCATGGTTGAGATATTGAATATCGAATGACTTGGAATAAAATATTGAGAATATCATGAATGTTTGAATCATATATTGTGTGCATGATATCAAATGGTTGATTATGAATTGAGATTCAATTTATTTGGATGTTCGACGCTTTAGATATGCTTACTCAGCTTCATCGCTGAGCGTGTAGTATGTTTTATTTGCTACACGCAGGTAGACAGAATGAGTGAATGGCATGTTCTTGGCAGCAGAAGGGGCGAGACAGTCGTGGTGGATCATTGAACAAAATAAATAATTATGTTGTTATGAGACATGTTTGAAAGTCGCTTCCGCATTATTATTATTAAACACTCCGTATTTTCTACAATTATGTATGGAATATTATTATTTATAAATAAAAATGTTTGAAATGTTTTAAATTTTTACGATTACCAAGTTAATACTTTAGTCCGAAAGGGGATGCAGACCTGGACGGATTAGGGTGTTACAGTTTTACTACTTTCTAGTGTTATATGTCCAATGCATGTTCTGTCTCCATAAAACCTTGACTTGTCTACCAGTTTCTCAATCTGTTTTGCACCTGCACTCTTCATCCACCTTTGATAGCTCTTCAGCTGAGTGAGCTCATAGTTCAGATTTGCCTTTTCCCCTTCAACCTGTTCCAGCTGTAGCAAGGTTTCATCGGGTTTTCTACAAAGACTGTCCACTTCTTCCTCCAGCATATTTTCCTTGTTTACAAGAACCAATTTGTCCACTTTTCTTGAAGTGTCACAAGTTGGTCTCTGAGGTTGTTTGGGTCTTCATCATCAATTTGGGTAGTGAATGCATAGTTGTTGTTCCCTAGGACTTCCTCAGAGTCATTGTCTTCGTCGCTATAGGTTGATAGAAAAGCTTGTCGTTTCTTTTTGAGGTTATTTGCACATTCTGATTGAATGTGACCAAATCCTCCACATTCAAAACATTGAGGTCCTCTTCGTCTAGAGTCATCAGTTGGTGACCTGACCTCCTTTGGCCTTGGATTCTTAAATTGAATTCCCTTTGAGGATTCAGCTTGATAATTTGTTCTTCCTTTCTTTTGCATCCATTGCTTCTTGAACTGCTCGGTGATGAGAGAAAATTGCTCCCGAGAATCCCCATCTAACGGAATCTCATCATCATCCTCCTCTTCGGTAGCATGGCTGTGAAATGCAATTTGTTTGACACTCTTCTTTTGTTTAATTTCTTCGTTCATTTGGAGCTCAATGGTCTCAAGATTTCCCATAAGTTGATCCAGTGTCATATTCTTTATGTCATGTGCTTGGCGAATTGCTTTGGCATCCATTGCGTAACGCTCTGGCAATGCTCTCAGTACCTTCAACACTAGGCTATCTTCAGTAAAGGGCCTTTTCAGATTTTCAGCCTCATTTGCAAGTTCTCTCACTCTTCCATGAAATTCTGCTATTTTTTCTTTATCATCCATGTGCAGATTCTCATATTTGGTCATGAGAATCTTTAGCTTGGCAGTTTTTACTCGTTCATCTCCTTCGTGAGTAGTTTCAAAGATCCCCCAAGCCTTTTTTGCTTCAGTGCAGTTCAAAATAAGTTGGTACTGTGTACTGTCAACTGCCCCAAATAGTGCATTAAGGGCTCTGTCATTGCATTCAGCCAGGTATGCTTCTTCCTTTGTGTATTTTTCAAATGTTTTAGCCACCTTTTCTCCTTCTGCGTTGGTCTCAGTGGGTTCTGCCCACCCGGTTTCAATGCTTATCCATACTCTGCCACCTCGAGACTTTAAAAAAGCTCTCATGCGCCCCTTCCAGAAATTATAGTTTGGTCTGCCTAACATTGGTGGTCATTGGACATTAGCACCTTCCTCCATATCTCCCATGAGTGATTAAGCTAGTGACTTAAGTTTAACCGCTCTGATACCAAATGAAATTGTTGTAGAGACTCACAGCAACAGAAAATAAGCTCTCTACAAACAATTTGATTAAACTATATGACACTCTTAACACAATGAGACAAACAAAGTGCTGGAGCACTTTCTCTGTCACGATCAACCACACAAACAAGGAAGATAAAAACAATAAATCAAACACAAGAATTGTTTACGCAATTCAAAGCAACTCTCCTACTCTGTGGGGCCCACGTCCGTGTAATAGCCCTTTCACTAAATCACTGTAAAGATTACACATTCAACCACTATCGGTACCAACTAGTGAATTGAACTAATCTGCTACAGATGATTTAAACACTTAACTCTGTTAGTGTTACACCGATTGGCTTATTACACCAACCTTGATAACTTCTGTTATTGGACGTGCTATCAGCCCTTCCTCCAGCCCTTCTGGTGGTCCCAAAGTGGTGAAATACAAAGTCTAGAGGGGGGGGGGGGGTGAATAGACTTGGTTACAGATTTAAAATCCTTTTCGTTTCTTTTGAAAACGTGAAAATGAGTGTTAATCTAGAGTCCTTGTGAACTTTAGATTGTGTGCGGAATTTGGTGGATGGAGTGAGCAGTAATCAATATGGATAGGTTAGTTTTCACAGTTAATATAATTGCAAGTAAGAATAAAGATAAGAGAGAGACACGCAAACTTTAACGAGGTTCGAAGGTGGGGTAATCCTTCTACGTCCTCAAAATCCACTATGTAGTTGGTTGTTGAATAATGAACCAACAATTACACTTGTGTGAATTTCTGCACGGTATATCTTCACAAGACCAATGTTGCTACTGCACTCGTGCTGGCTTTGTTGTT